AAATATACATTAAATTTATATAATAGAAATTCAAAAATACATGTAACTAATGTTAATCTCGTGCTTTGCATGGGCTCGTATATATTCTAAATTTTTAACATCCTATAAATATAAATTTATTTTAATTTTCTAATAATGACATAATATGTGTAATATGAATATTTTGTAACTCTAAGGTATAATTTTTTAAATAAAAGTAATACTTTAATATTAATGTACATATGCACTAAAAATTTCATAAGTATTCTATTTAAAAGTATTTGAAGAGAAATGATCAATTATTTTTAAAAAATTATGTAAAACTTTATTTTTCAAAATATCAGTAATGTTTCAAAAATATTTTTAAGATATAATATAGTTATGTAAACAAAATATATTACGAACTGGTGGAATATATATCGGTATTTTTAAGATATAATATAGTTATGAAGTACTAATGAAAATGGTTTTAATTAATAAAAATGAAAAACGGACTAATAAATAATGGTACATTGAGTATATATATGTGGCATAATGTCATTTTTCATCCTTCAATTAAACTAACTAACCTTGCTCTATTTACTTTGTTGAAAAATATGTGTAGTAATAAAATAAACAATGTAATAAGATAAAAGTTTTGAAATAAAGTATTTAATTAATAAATGTTCAAACATGATTAAATTTATATAATCAATTTTTTCAGAAGTAATAAACTAAATTAAATAGTAGATAGTATAAAAATAATATAATATAAAATGATGTTTTTTTATTGATAAATTTTATATAACTTTTTAAAAAATTAACATAATGCAATTGTGAATATTTAAAATGTGTGTTGTATTTGCAATAAAGAAATATATATTTTTAGATTAGTTAAAATGCAAAACTTCTATAGAAATATTGGTTATTTATTGTTAAAAAGTGAAAGGTTGCATAATAATTTAAGAAAGTAATGGTTATTTAGTGATAGAAAGTAAATATTTTATATAAATTAAAAATAAAATGGTTATTTAATAAAAAAAAATTACTATGCACACATGGCCTGATGTGCATGTGTGTCCTAAAAATTTTAATACAAAATTATTGTCCATTGAAAAAAATAATAATAATTTGTTTGAGATCCAAGTTTTTTTAATGAATAATAAATAAAATAAAAACAATGCCAAAAACTACTACATGAATTAAAACATAAAAATGACAAACTAATAAATGTTTTTTAAAGCAAAATAATTTTTCATTTTTGAAAGTGAAATGTTTTTAATTAATAATAAAGAGTCTTTATTAAAATATTACAATCAATATGCATATTTAAAATAAGGGGTATATTTTACAATAGTAAAATATATTTTTATAGAATCATTAAAAAATGAAAAAGTTTTATACAAAATATAACTAAAGTAATTTTTTTTAATTCGAAAAAATATTCATTTAAAGTAATACAATAAAATGTATTAAAAGATTTTTTGTAAAAAAGCAAAATGAACCAATGAATCGAAATGTCTCCACCTCATTAATGGGTGCACCTGTGGATGCATATATGGCATGCCACATGTCAACACCACAATCAATACACTCAACTTACATATATATATATATATATATATATATATATATATATATATATATATATATATATATATATATATATATATATATATATATATATATATATATATATATGGGCCGGTTCCTGTGAGAATGAACCTTGGTGAAAGAAATGAGAATGAATCTTAGCCTTTGATTTGATCAATCGTGCGGTTGAGCATAAGAAAAATTTAAGCTCATCACATGGTAAGTAAAATTCATGTTCCATTAATTTAGGAGAAATTTTAGGGAGTAAGGGCATAATTGTAAACCCACCATTCTTAGCCACATCACCCACGTTCCAGCATTAAAAAATATTCATGGTTCTAGCCACTTTTCTATTTAATCTCATTTTGATTTGTTATCTTCCATTACAAATTTTCTAAATTCAATTTACTTAAAGATTTTTAAAAAAAAGTTTGAAATTTTTTTTATTGTTTCAAATTCAATTTACGATGCGGAAGATTAAAATCCTATCTACTTTCCAAAATTATAATCGTAATGAGAATGCACTGTGATGGTTGAAATATGCATTGTTGTTTGCTGTTTGAATTTATTCTATTATTTGTGGATTAGTAAATTATGACACTTGAGAGAGCTTGTATGCAATGGAAAAGTTTGATAATGCATTAATTTCATGTTGTGAGATTGAATGTATTGTGATGCTCCACATATGCAATCTCTTTTGCCATATTGTGCTCACACTGCATAGGGATAAGCTTTTTTCAATTTTAGAAGTGTTTGGGCTATTGATCAGTTTATGGATTTCAATGTATGACGCTTGATTGTCTTTCTTGTGCTATACTTCATTGTATAAATCATAAATGCATTACCTTCATTTGAGGATGCATTATCTTGTTCCAAAGAATGCATAGTAAGAGAAACAAAATACCAATTTGTGGGATGTAATATATTAAGAATTAAGGATCCCACTCATACACCTATAGTCCCCAACCTACACCAGCAAATAATTATTATGCATAACCAAAATAAGCTAAATTACATATTCAAAATATAAGCAAATAGAACTGGCAAAATATGACCCGACCCGTTTTTTACCCAAAACCCGACCCGAAATTATTGAACATGAATTTTGTGACCCGAACCCGAGGACCCGTTAAAATTTTGGGTCGGGTCGGGTCGGGTCGGGTCTGACCCGACGGGTTAAGCACTCTAAACTTAGGAACTAAGATTTTATATTTTTATTTATTACTCAAATATCAAATAGACAAATACAGCCTGGAATACCGTACTCAAACCCGTTAAACCTAATTGCACCCTCTCTCCATCGGCCGACTCTCCATCTCGACTTTTCTTCGTCGATCGTTGCCGTCTTCCGTCAATCATCCTTCGTCGTCCGCTGGCGTCGGCTCAATGGTGAGAAGAAACAAGCACAATAGTGGAATTGCTAATCCTAATTCATCATCTTCAATTGGACGTAACTCATGTTTAACTCTCTCTTAAAAGTTAAAAACTTAAAATCTAAAATCAGTTTTTTGACTTTTTTCTATTTACGAAGTAATGGGAGTATTGTTTAATCTGTGTTTTCCATTTATGTGATATTATTTTTCTCCTGGAGTAGCATAAAAGTCATTCCTCATTAGCCATATGTACTCGAATTTGTTTGCCTGCTAAATGCTAATAGTCAAAATAGATTTCTTTTAAAAATATAATAATCTGCAATTTTGCATATGTCTAGTTGAGTTCTATTCCGAAAACGAGAGAACCAAACGAAACTAAGAAGGGGTTGAAAACTACACAAATTATGTCAAATAAGTAGTACTATTCGATGAGCACTATTCGTAGTTTAACTATACCCCTTACTGAAGTGAACTCTTACTTGAAGATTAGTAAAACAAACTACTCTAAATTATTTGGTATTTTGATTAGTGTGCTTGGATGGTTCATTTGGGACATGATGATGTTTAAAATTTTTAGCTATGTTTACTTTTTTGTTGTTGTTTTGAATGATTTTTTTTCTATGTTTTGAAAAAATGCATTGATCACTTCATCTCTGAATGGAAAATTTACAATTTTTAAATACGCCTCTTAACCCGTTGGGTCAACCCGAACCCGATAGCTCTGGGTCATGAACAAGCATCCTTAGACCCGAACCCGAAGTGACCCGAACCCGATGTGACCGAACCCGAACCCGACCTGACCGACCGTTTTGCCAGGTCTATAAGCAAATAAACCATTATTTTGAAATACATATAAGCAAGACCAACACCCCTACTTGTCATTGAGATATAGTTCAATTCAAAGCAAGTGTAAAATGGATTTGAGAAATGATTTGCCTATGCAGGATTCGAACCCACATTTGTATTATATACCGCTCTACCATTTGAGCTAATAGGCAACACTTTATTTTTTCAAAGAGACTCACATCTTACTTACACTCTAACATATAAAACATACAATTGATGCAATTGGAACATAGCACACACCAATCAAAGACATTGCAACTAGCACATAGCCATTGTTATTTGCAAGAACACATTCGATAATTAATTTAAATATCGTTCTAATTTTTCTTTTACTCAACATTCTTATTTGATAATGCATTATCTTGATTTCAGAATGCAACAGTAACATCAGTAAGCATCAATTTGTTGATTAAACTATAATCAAATGTAAATACATTTGAGGAATGATTTGCCTATGCAAGTTTTAACACACATTCGTAGTACATATCACTCTACGATTTGAGCTAATAGAAACTGGAAACAAAAAGAACCAAAAAAATCAAAATAAAAAAATATAAAGACCATTGTGATGCACACATTATATGCATGACATAGACCTCATATATGCATAGATTTTAATATATCTGTGCATTAAAAAGGCGACCTGATATGGTGCACACAATTTGAAAGATTAGGTTTTTGACTGAATGCAATAAGAGGACAAATATATGCAAGACAAAGACTTCAAAATGCAAGAATGCAATATCGTGATGGCATACACAGCACAAGATTTTTAAGAGGCGACCTGATATGGTAGCTACGTATACAATATGAAAGATTAAATTTTTGACGGAATGCAACAAGAGGACAAACATATGCACGATAGAGACTTCAAAATGCAAGATACATGATTTTTAAGAATTAATGTTTTGATGATGTTGTCCTCAGATCTAAACTTTCTATAAGCAACCAACGACACCTACACGAAGAAATATGGAGAAAAATGAACATTACTTTATAAACAGTGAATGTCCCAAAAACAGAGTGTATCTAAAAAAGAATATATTACATCTTTAACAAAGAATTAAGAAAACATTCTATTGAATGATCAAAAATCATGACCCAAGTTTCGAATCTGAGAACTCATAACAGATCCCTCATTCTTGTTCAATTTCAAAAAGAAAAGGAAAAAGAAAATAGAAAAGAAAGAACCTGAACAACAAAAATCAATGGAAAATCGTGCACCATCAGTTTAGATCCGATAGCCACCAAGGAGTGCCGTCGCTGGAAAAAGGAAATAGAGAACCTTCCGCCATTGAGAGATTTTATGCTGATTTCCCGGAACGATTCAATCGAGACATGAGAGAGAGAGGCCATGGTGTTGTAAAATTCCTAGTATAGCCTCGTACTTAAGTGGATAGAATCTTAAAATCCAATAACGGTTGTAGTTTATCCTCATTTCTTTCATAAGATCTCATTCTCACCAGAACCTATATATATATATATATATATATATATATATATATATATATATATATATATATATATATATATATATATATATATATATATATATATATATATATATATATATATATATATATATATATATATATATATATATATATATATATATATATATATATATATATATATATATATATATATATATATATATACACACACACATATATATACATGTATACATACATACATACATACATATATATATATATATATATATATATATATATATATATATACTCCCTCTGTCCATAAAAAACTTCCCGGTTTGACCGGGCACGCATATTAATGTGTGATAAAATTTTCTTTGACTTTCCCATTATGCCCTTGTCCCCTCCCTGCAAGTTTAATCTTTCAATCGATAATGGCCAACATCACCAGCGGCAATTCTTGGCCACCACTAACAACTCTCCAACATCGCCGCCGCCGCCAAATCTCCGGCACCACCGGATGACCTCTCTGATTCTTCTTGCCGCCATCCCTTCCGTAACCCTCCTCCCTCGTAGATCTTTTCTAGATCTGTTTAGTATTCGAGGTTTTGACGGAGAGAGGCGAGGCTAGGTGTAATGGAAGTTTTGTAGATCTATGGAATCGATGTCGGCTATGTCGGAAGAGAAGCAGATCTGACCGTTGGGCACCTCCGACCACCGACTCACTATTTCGCTGCTCCCAATCACTGGGTACGTGATGGGACAAATCCGAAGGGGGGGGGATGAAAGAAGAAGAAAAGTGAAAAGAAAGAAGAAGAAAAAAGAGAAGAAAAGAACGAAGAACTGAAGAAAAGAGAAAAACTGAGAAAAAATTATACAGAGAGTGGGTGGATCAAAAGGGAGAGGAAGAAAGAAAAAAAGAGAAAAGAAAGGAGAGAGAAGATATGTTGACCGAGAGGAGGATGAGAGGAAGAGGAAAAAAGACACGGATTAAGAAAGAGGGTAGGGTGAGGGTAATTAGGTATTTTTGGCATGAAAAAGTTTCCAGAAAAGGAAACGGGAAGTTTATTTGTGGACGGACGAAAAAGGAAAGTGGGAAGTTTTTTTATGGACGGAGGGAGTATATAGGATTAATTATTATTTGATAACATTATTGACGAAAGACTAAAAAATAAATTTTAAGTTTAAAACATCCTATAAATAATTGAAACTTATTGAAAACTAAATTTAAAAAAATAACCTATTACAAGAGATCATTTTAGGAATTTTCTGATTTAGTGTATGATTATAAGCATCGTCATCCATCTGACATAAGATGATCAAAACCTATCTTTCCGAAAATAACAAGATTACATAAGATGATCTCAAAGAGATATATTCGTTTATCCCAAAGGGCATTTACAATAATCGAAAATACACCCAACCAACTTCTACCACATCAATATTCCACAAGTTTTTTCACCACACCCAAATAGTCTATAATCATATCAACCTAAAAGTAAGCCTCTCCATTTTCTTTACTCTCTTCATAATTTTAAAATTCAAAATTTATACTCCCTTAATCCCAAATTATTTGGCACATTTCTATTACCAAGTATAAATTAATAACCAAAGGAAGAGGCTATCATGGGAGCATGAGAAAACGGTAACCTCGTCACTAGATAAAAAATCAAAGTTTGCAAATCAAATGAGACATAATGTTCAGAGTTATCCAAATTGAAGTTGTTGGAATTCATTTTAAATAATGAGAAAATAAGAAAGTTATGATTTGAAAGGAATGAGAATGAACAGAGAGAGATGAGAGTGATTAATTAAAGTTAAGAGATGTGACGAATTTATTGAGTGAAAAAACAAAAAAAAAAGGTACACCGCAGTAAAAATCTCAGCTCCTCGCTTGCCATACCGTGCGGCACGGCACCCCATCGAAATTGGTGCGGCAGATTGGATCATGGAAATTTGGTTTTTTCTCTTCTTATACATTTTCTTTTTTTTCCACTTTTCTTTTCTTTTTTTCTTAAACCAAACAAGAAATATATTTTCTCCCTCATTTTCTTTTCCTTTTTCTCTCAAATTCTTTAAACCAAACATAGTGTAAATGTCCATTATAAATCAATTCTTTAAAGACATGGGTTATTCTAGTGAATTAAATCAATGCATGCATATGAAAACCAAAACCAATTGGAATGTGAGTAAATGTACACTCTTATCCCAAATTAATTAATGAATGCATATGAAAACCAAAACAGCAATGCTAGGGGTACACCATTTAGGGTACCCCAAATGTACACCACCCTCTTTTCCTTCACACATTTTTATTTGATTTTTATTTATTTTTATTTTTTTTTGAATTCTTTGTCTTTTTTAGTGGACAAGGAAGGGGTGGGGGACATTTGGAGTACACCTTTTAGTCCACTTTTGACTAATATAATCATGTGTGATCTTGTTTGATTTTGTTTGATTTGTCTTAACATATAAATTATTAATATATAATTTCTATAATTTTTTAATATACAAATTAAAAGATAAAATGGATTAAAAAAGTATATTAGATGGTGTATAAAAATGAAAGTAGACAAATTCTCTGGGACGGATTAAAAAGGGAAACATAAAAAAGCTCAGATTAACTGTTCTTTTCCCGAACCGTCTACAAAAGACGATCTCAAAGAGCTGGGATTAGTTATCATCATCATCATTGCTTCTTTATGATTCCGTCTACTTGAGAAATCTGATTGTAAAGCACAAATAAAACATTGAGTAAAGAAAATGGAGATAATCATTTCTACGACATCTACGCAATAATGGAACCTTGTGATCTCGCCCGATTACTTTCAAGAAATGCTTTAATTTGAAATAAAATACTCCATGAAATAGCATCGTTTTATAAAGAAACCGAGAGATAAAAAAAATACAAGGTTTGACGTATGCAGGAAAAAGATATGCCCAGTGCCCGAGACCTACATTGCCCATCTAGGGTTACAATTGAAGGTGCAAGGGAGAGTATATAGAGGGAGAGATGCGATCTTGGGCTTGGGCCAAATATTGGTTTATTGGGTCGATTTAAGAAGATTATTACTACCCTCTTTCACTAAGGAGGTTTGACTAGGCCTAGGGCTTGGGAATCTAGGTTTCACTATTGAGAGAGGGAGTACGGAGTACGGAGTATACTTTTTAGGATTAAGCTATGTGTACCCCAACATTTATACTCTAATTTGTACCCCGTAGGTTTGCACAAACATTTTGTGTTAGTGTAAAACTAATTTTTGTTAACGCACCAACATTTGTGTCTGTGTAAATTTTTGTTAACGCACCAACACTTATGTCGGTGTAAACCATCAAAATGTTTGTGCAAAATTGTGGTGTACAAGGGGTACATTTTTTGGTGTAAGTGTAGCATGGTCCTACTTTTTAATACCCCTCCATTCCAAAATTATTTAGAGCAATGCTAGGGATACATCTCCCCATTTGTCCTCCACCACCCATTCTTATTTAATTTTTATTTATTTAATTTTTTTTAAAGTATTTGCCCATTTATGTGGTGGAGGAGGGGGTGGGGAACAAATGGGGTATACCTTTGGTGTAGCCCTAGCATTTTTCAATTATTTATTCTAAGAACTAGGGCTTGGGAAAACCGAAAACCGCAAACCGAACCGAAATCGATAGAAACGAGCTAGAAAAAAACCGAACCGAAAAAACCGAAACCGAATGTAAAAAACCGAACCAAACCGTTAGTGTTTGGTTCCGTTTTGGTTTTCACTTTGAAAAACCGAACCGAATAAACCGAACTTTCTTAGATACTTTACTTTATTTATATGAATATATGTGATGTGTAGAAAAATCATAGAAATCTAAATGCAAATAAACTACTAGTCGATTAAAATTACTTTCTTAACTATTAATTAAACATTCTAGCCATATTATTATAAACTTTAAAAAAACCTAAGAATATGAACACCAATAGCTAATCCTAATATAGAATTATATTAACATTAAAAATTGATACGAATAATTTATATATTTACATAAAAAATACTTTGATGTTATAATGAAAATGAAAGTATTATACCAAAAAACATAAATTCTTCGTAATTGATTTTACATACAATGTTTTTGGAGTATATTTGGAATCTTCTAAATGTTTGTTGGGCACTCAACACATATTTTTTTATGTAATATTGAACCGAAAGGAACAACAACCTTCCGTTTGGTTTTTGTTTTGTGTAAAAATCAAACAAAAAAACCAAAGCTAACACTACATATTGTTATTGTTTCATCGAGTTAGTGTTTTTACAATTTTTTAATGCTTATAAATTTCTACTTTTATAAACCGAAAAAACCAAAAAAACCGAAATAAAAACCGTATAAAACCGAACCGAATAACCAACGGTTTACATATTTTTTATGCAAAACTGAACCAAACCGAACCGCCAATTTACCTTCCGTTTTGTCTTTGGTTTTGGGTGAAAACCGAACTGCCAAAACCGAACCCACCCATACTAAGAACGTGTAAATTTTGTCCATTTTACTTTTATTTGCCAAATGTGAAAATGTGTGGTTCTAAGTTTGTTAGTTATTAGTTATTACGCGTATAATAACAATAAATATTTCCATCGTCCCAAAAAGAAAGTAACGTTTCATTTTTTGCACATTCTGAAAAATACTTTTACTCACATCTAATTTTTCCGTAGAATATTTCTAAAATATAAAAAATTTGGTGTAAAGTATTAAGAGAACAAGACAAATTGTTTCTTAATAAAAGAGAGAGGGCGGACCAAAATTCAAGACGAAAAAAGGGATGGGATGATCTCTTATTTATAAGGAGCATAATCCACATTACTATCCCTAATGGGAATGTACCTTTTTAGTGTTTATGAAAGAAATCAAATCACATTCCTACTTTGCTTTGGTAATTTCAAAACACCCCATTAAGGAACCTTCCAATTTATTTTGTCAACATTAATTATCATATCATTAACACAAAATAAATAATATAACATTTATTATATATCTGAAATATATAAATATATTCACACACACACACACATATATATATATCTATATATATATATATATATATACACACACACACACACACACACACACATACATACATATATACAAAATATTTGACATACTTAATTATCATATAATTAAAATGTCCACATATAAACATATATTTATTTATATATGTTTGTTTATCTAATTATGTTTTCACACAATATATAAAATGCAACTTTACTCCACTTCGATATTCTACGCTTTTCATACGTTCTATGTGTGTGACCCTATTCTAGGTATCTATAACATTGGTCATAGTATTCATTAGATACTACAAGTGATAAGCGGTATCAAGCAACACATTATCACCCCCACAATATATATATAAAGCTCTTGGAACAATTCCTTCAACGACACATCTCATTTGTATAACTTTTATCCCTTTATAACACAAGGTATGTGTTGGATATATGAGCCCCAGAGGCCAATGTATGAAAGTATCTGAATATTTATCAAGAATAAAAGGCCCTAAAGATTATTTATACATATCGTGTATTTAAACATGGCTTTAGCCCATAGACTTAGAGCTTTGGTTGTATAGATAAGAATTACGATGTTCTAATTATGAGGCTGTTAGATTAATAGAGCCTATGTCTAAAATATTCTTAGTCGAATATTATGATAATACAGACGTCATAATATGCTAAGACTAATACGTATGAGACAAGATTGTTAGAATATAGGCCCAACGCTAGAGGGGGGGTGAATAGCGTTTAAAACAAAATCGCAGGAAATTAAAAACGAGAGCGTTAAAGTAAAGAGTGTAAGGAAGGAGCACACCGAATTTTATCCTGGTTCACCACAACGTGTGGCTAATCCAGCCTCCCGAGAGACTCTCTCGAGCTACACTAACTTCGTTAAGCTTTAGGGTGCTTAACAAACCGATACAACTTGAGAACCCGAGTCACACGAGCCTCAACGCCTTTGCTCGGAGATACCACACTCCAAGACTTCTCACGAAGGAACAACGAACTTCCTTCGAGTTTACAACAAGGGAACAACCTCCCTTAAAGTGTATGAAAACACTTAAACACTCAGGAATAAAACTCTCACAAAGAGTAGATTTGAGTGAACTAGTATACGCTCAAGAACACGACAATTTCTTCAAGAATTGGCTCTCAAATAGCTTAGAAAAATAGGAATGCTTATGCAATGAAAGAGTATTGAAATGTTGAAGAATTGTATGTAAAATGAGAGGATTTGGGTGCCATTTTATTGCTCAAAATGGGATAAATCCGTTGCTAGAATTTCCAACAAGATGAAGACAAATTTTTCAGAGACACAGGCTGATAGTCGATTATCCAGGCTTGATAATCGATTATCAAAAGATTCCTTGTCCAAAAATTTAAAATTCTATCCGTTGGAGGACAACGGTAACCCAGATAATCGATTGTCAACAAGTGATAATCGATTATTGGTCCTCTCAGAAGTTTCTGGGTTTTGGCTGCACAGGTTGATAATCGATTATTGCATAAGTGATAATCGATTATTGCGTGCTTCAAAACTTTGGAGTTCCAAAGCTGCAGGGGCTGATAGTCGATTGTCACTAAGGTGATAATCGATTATCACCCAGCTAAAGTGTAGCCAGCTGAAACCCGTTTTGAAAAACCGAGGTCCAAAAACGAAGTGTTCCCAAAAGTAAAAACCAAGTTTGAAAAACATTGTATATGGTATAAAATAGTGAAACCAAGACTTGTTTGGTAAAAACAAAGTCTTCAAGGTCGTAAATCACGTGTGTACGGTTTTGACCGTTTCTCACGTGTTAGACCGATTGACCAAGATACAAAAGTGGTTTTTATGAAATAATTATTTGGGAACCTTTTAAATATGCTCAGAGATAAAAACAAGGTTTAAAACATAGAAAACCACCGAGTTGGTTCGGGCACCAAAAAACCGAATGCCGAACACCGTACCCCGACTTAGGTGATTTTGGTTCTGAGCAAGGACCAGGGATTTTAACAATAAAAAATTTATCAAAAATGTTTATTTTGATGCACAAAAATATTTTATGATTTTGTAAAACTATTTTGACTCTTTGAGAACCGAGACTTGAATTGATTGTCGGTTTTGATCACAAAAGACCGACTCGACTAAGTCTTCAATTCTTGATCTTGTCCTTGAGTCTTTTGGGTCTTGATCCATGCCATTCTTCGCGCCTTGAGTTATTCAACGAAACTCTTCATATCCACGGCGGTTTGGCAATTATCAAAACCTGTCAGAAATGAACACGACTTTAGTTTATCGTACAAAGTGTGTTCCAACAATTTCCCCCTTTTTGATAATGGCAAACAAGACGGGGATATGCATAGGGTTTTGGTCTTTTTTTTAAAATAAAATTCCCCCTGAAAATATGCATAGCCCTTATCTTCCCCCTTTTGACATTAACAAAAAGATTTAATAACAAAAACCATAAAGATTTTTATTAACTAATTAAGGGAAGTTGAGGAGTTCATAACGAAAGTACATAAAAAGATGATAAAATAAGGAAGAGGAGAAAAATAGAGCTAGAGCTCTTAGAAAACCGGGGAAAGATCATTGAGAAGTTGTTCTTCGTCAATGTCTTCTTCTTCATCGTCTCCATCTTCATCACCATCGCCATCATCATCATCATCATCATCATCATCATCATCGGCTTCTTCTTCCTCTTCTTCTTCAACGTCCACCGCGTCATCCCTACCAACATTTTGAGTCCCGCTTGGTTCACCTCCGAAATTCGGTGGAGGAACGTAGGGGACCATTTGAGCGTAAGGGTAATTGACAAAGTCAAAATACCCGTGAAGCTCACGGCTCAAAACATCGACGTTGTGTGTCGTTTTGGAGACGTTGGTGTCTATCCGAGACAAGGTAGTGGTCAAAGCCGCCATTTGCTCGGCGAGAGACAGATTGGTTGAAGCGGTGGCAGTCGAGGCAGTAGCTCTCGGTTGGCGACGAGGACGAGGCTGCGGGAACGAAGCTTCATCGGTTCCCGGGTGGAAGGAGGACTCGTCAATCACCCAATGCTTCGTCCCTTTGCATTTCGGCCCGACGACCGTCTTGATGTGGTACTCATCAAGGATCGCCATGACGAGAAGAGCATAGGGGAGCGGCCGGTTGTCGGAGGTGGCGTTGAACATGTGGATCATCACAAATTTACACCAATTGATATTGGCATTGTGAATCATTGCATGGATCGTCTTCGTGTCTTCTTGGGAGAGAGTGGTACGGTGTGGTTGAACTTCCTGGGCTTGAGGATCCGTGTCAACACATAGAAGATGAAACGATACACGGGATTCATGGAAGAAATCGTAGGACGCCGCTGTTGAGGAGTGGGGACGAAGTTTCGGATGCCCACTTCCTCCAAGAGGGCAGTCTCGTTGAACCGTGCTCCTTCTTCTCCGACGTAGAGCCCGAGATCCTGTCCATCCCGTCAAAGCCCGGTGAGGATTTGAATGTTCTCCTCATTCAAATAGATCTCCACCCCATTGACGTTGGAAATCAACGACCCGTCCTCATCCTTTTTCAAATTCGAGTAGAAGGCTCGAACAAAAAAAGGGTGGTAGTCGTTCTTCTTGATGTAGAGGAGGTCGAGGAAGCGTCCACTCTCGAGGATGACCCGTAGGGTGGTAGTCGTTCTTCTTGATGTAGAGGAGGTCGAGGAAGCGTCCACTCTCGAGGATGACCCGTGCCTGGCGAGGGATGGCGCTGTGGATGAATCGATCGGTGGAAAACCGGGGAGGAAGAATCTCCCGGTGCTCGAACTTCTCCGAGAACCGCGTCGCCTCTGCGTGGTCGTTGAACCAAAGGAACGACCCGTCGAGATACTTGTGCGCCGGTGGTGGAGGAGCCGAGGAAGAAGCCACGTTCTTGCCGGTGCGGGATCTTTTTCTTTGACCTCCTGCCATTTCAACAAAGTAGAGAGGGAGTATTTGCAGGATTTTTGGCTAAAAATTGAAGAACAATAGCAAGAATTGAAGAAATATGATGAATATTTGAGAGAGGATGATTGGAATGAGTAAAGAATGAAGGGATATCACCAATTTATAGTTGAGAGGGCTGGAGATCCGTTGGGGAGTTCAAAAGGTGATTTAAGTGCATTTCCAACGTCTCTGTAACGGTCAGATTTTTGAAAAATCACCGTTGATAATCGATTTACACTCCCTGTAAATTGATTATCTGAGTTTTCAGATTCTCCGCCAAAAGATCTGCAGACTTCAGATTCTCCGCCAAAAGATCTGCAGACTTCAATAGTCGATTGCCTTGTTTTAGTAAATCAATTGTTGGAGTTTGCGCCTGACTTCAGAGAAAGTTATACAGCTCCATATAATCGATTATCATGACTTGAACAATCGATTGTTGAAGTTTCGTGGTTGATTTGCTACAAACTTCTGCGGGCAGTGATAGTCGATTATCCCTATGTTGATAATCGATTGTTGGCTCCTGCAGTTTCTTTGCTCCAACTCCTGTGGGTTGTGATAGTCGATTATCACAAGCCTGTAAATCGATTTACACCTAGTTTGAAATCGATTTACTTTGTTCCCCTTGACTTTGACACCTGAAAAATAAAATTTAAAAGAAGAGCCCTGCAAACAAGAATTAAAAACGTCTCCGACGTTCAAGTTAGTAAGGACCAAAAAAAATAACTAATGCACAACTTAGATCATTGTGGAGTCAAGGATTCCGAGTTCACTACGAATGCAGAAGAACGACTCTTTCTCTAAAGGTTTTGTGAAAATGTCGGCTAATTGGTTGTGTGTTTCAACGAACTCAATTTCGACATCACCTTTGAGAACATGATCTCTAATGAAATGATGCCTAATGTCAATATGTTTCGTCCTTGAGTGAAGAACCGGATTCTTCGTCAAGCTTATGGCACTAGTATTATCACATCGAAGAGGGACGTGATCGATACTAAGGCCATAATCCACAAGTTGTTGCTTCATCCAAAGGATTTGAGCACAACAACTACCGGTGGCAACGTATTCCGCTTCGGTTGTGGATAACGCAACACTGACTTGCTTCTTACTAAACCATGAGACTAAAGAACTACCAAGCAAGTGACAAGTCCCACTCGTACTCTTACGGTCTAATCTACAACCAGCAAAGTCCGAGTCGGAATAGCCAAAAAGATGACAAGGAGACCCTTTGGGGTACCATAGTCCAACGTTCATTGTACCAACAAGATATTTCATTATCCGTTTTACCGCCGTTAAATGCTATTCTTTCGGACAAGATTGATACCTTGCACATAAACAAACGCTAAACATGATATCGGGTCTACTAGC